TCTTCTTATGGGAATATTTTGAAATTAAATGCCTTATCATACGTACCTCATTGATTTTAACTTGTTAAAGTTTTCATTACCTGTAGCATAATGTGAACTGATTATTTTTATTTCAAATTACATTTCAACTATATATTGCTTTTATATATGTCACAGCACTTTGAAACATTGTTTTCGTTATATTAAACTTGCTTTCAGCGTCTATTGCAACTACTATACTGAACAGGTCAGTAGATGAAACAATACTCGAAGGTGATATCCTTTCGGTTTCAACAATTACGTTAAAGAGGTTTAAACAGAAAAAGAGAACCTGCAATCACAAGTACAAGTTTCTGAAGGTCGAGCCAAAGATGTAGAGGAAGTTGAGAAATGGTTGTATGAAGCATACTCTCTCATGGCAAAAGTGGTAAAGAAGTTTGGAATTTAAAAAGCAGAGCGTTTTCTTGTTGATGAACTAGTCTTTGTGATTACGTCTAATGCAATTAATGTAAGAAAATTTCAGGCCAAGATTGCAAGCTAACTAAGTTTCTTGATAATAAACTAGAGCAAGTGTTTGAAATTAACGGAGATGATGAAAAAGGGAAGGCGGAGAATGTTAATGAGAGTCCAAATTTGAAATATGCATTAGTTCTGGACCTACCAGGAAATCAAATATGTTCTGCAAACTTGAATACTTTTTTTTTTGGCCAAAAAACTTGAATACTTTTTGAAGGTTCTATATCCGGGAATGCTAAATAAGTTACTACATCAACTGATGTGATTATGCTAAATTAATATGTTTTCATACGAAGGTTGATGTTTTTGATATTAGCTCCTCATGCATCGAAATTTTTCTATTTATTAGGCAGTCATTATGGTTATGATAGTTGTTAACATCATTACATGACTTGTTATTAGAGTTATTAACTATTATACCAGACTTGTTAGTAGCGTTACAGAATTTGTTAATCGTGTTATTGAAGTTGTAAAGATGTCACTTTTTTAATATTCTGAAAAACCTATTAACTACTGTACCAAAAATGTTAATAGAGTTAAATAATTTGCTAACCACAATTACTAAAATTGTAAAAATCTACAAAAAAAATAGTTGCCGATTGCTAGAGCTCCAGTGACTAGTAGCCAGTCGGTGTGGGTGATTTGAGCCTCTTACAAAGAATAAAAGTTAAAGGGCAATAATTTAAATTTTTTAACATTTCAAAATCTTAATTTAGTCATTATGACTAAGTTAGAATTTTACAAGTTGAAATGATCATTTGGGATTTTGCAAATTCAATAAGGACCAATAAAAAAAAAATTCAAGGACCTAATTAAAATTGGAATAAAACTAAAAGCACTTGCATATATATAATTTTCCTAAATTTTATATTTATATATACACACATATATTAATTTAAAAAAATAGTTTAGAAAGTCCCCTTAACCATAACGAGTCAGAGATATATATTAATTTTTTGCACAGTAGCGGAGAAAATCTTACATTCTATTTTCTTTCTCTGCCGACTACTTATGCTAATTTTTTAAAAGACAAATTACACACAGGTCCTATAGAAGACAATTAATTTTGAAAAAAATACGTCGAAATCCCCAAATGCTTCTTAAGTCCTCAGGAACCTCAGAGCAAAAAATTAAAATTGTAAAATTACCTACTTGCCCTTACCGAATGACAACATGACAGCTACAGTCACAATCTACACAACAGCCAATCACAACCTACATTTGAGTCATTCACAACATGCATATAAACCAATCACAATTCACACTCAACAGAATGACAACATGCACAAAATACAGTCACAACCAACATAATAGCCAATTACAACCTCTTCAATCAGTGAGGACAAGTAGATAATTTCACAATTTTAATTTTTTGCTTTGACGTTCCTGGGGACTTAGGAGGCATTTGAAGATTTTGAGAGACTTTCTCAGAATTAATTGTCTTTTATGGGAGCTTTGTGTAATTTTTTCTTTTTTAAATGCTTTTAGAAAACAGACAAATAAGTACCTTGAAAAGTCACAAAACCCAAATCAGCCCTCCACGAAGAAATACCAAAATGAAGGCTCCAACTGCATGACTCACCACTGTGGGAAAACCACAAGAATTAACGAAATGAAAAGGAGCAATAGATTAAGACGACGGAAATAGTGACTAATCATGTGAAAATAAATATAAAAAATCTGAAAAAGACAATAGCTAGGGCCTACTGATTAAGAGAATTATGCAAACGTATTATAAACCCTTTTGTCCAAAATTTCATGCCTGTTTGAGAGTTGAAATAAGTCCGTTTTTTCCCCTTTTTATAAAGAGAAAATTCAAAGTACCTGCTTCTAATATGGTTTTTCAATAGCTCCGTTGCACATGATAAACTGTAGTTGTAGTTAATAATTTTTGTAGTTCAAAATCCATTTAAAAGAAGAGGAGAAGGGGAGTGTTACGCCAAGAAAGCATAATATTTTTTTTTTGAAAAATTACAATAAGATTTTGCCTAAAAGAATTCAATACAAAAAAGTCTCTTAAAATTACCAAATTATTTTGAAGTCCCAAGAGACGTTATTATAAGAAATTTTATTTGTTTAATTACTAAATTGTTTCTAATTTTTTTAAAGTATATATTGACAATTGAAAGTCTGAAAGAGTAGTTGTTGTAATAATTAATGAGGTGTAATAATTAATAACTATTATGGTGAGTATTAACAATATATTTTATCAACATATCACAATAACGAATGCATGAGTTGTCAATAAGCTGAAAGAATCCTCTCAGAATCTCTCTTTCTCCTTTTCTTCTCAAAATCTCATCTCTATTATTAAATTAAAAAATAAATAGTTTAGATTTAATATTTGATAAAGCTATTATTATAATATTAAATAAATAGGAGACAGAATGCATATATTCATTTTTGAGAATATTAATCTGAAACATTCATTTTTTTAGTCCAATGATAGCTAAAATAATACATTCATGTTAAAAATTTAATGATCTAACTTACAAATAGAACAAAAAAATCTCTCAATTCTATAAATAGAACCAGAAAGATAGTTTAAAATAGTGAGTATAATAAAGTTTACTTTTTTTTTTTTGTGCAAATGTCTTTTTATTAAAACTTTAATGTACCACCAATTTCGTGAAAAAAAATGAAGGAAAACAAAACACTTTTTTAGACACAACCTTATAATTTTCACATGTGAAGGTAAAATAGGGAGAGAAGTTTTAAAATTATTATGGGGAAGAGGGATGGAAAGCTGAACTCGTTCATGGCGCAGACGAGTTCACTTTTCTCTCAATAAAAAATAAATATGTTAGATATGATAGAGTGATACGATGGGAGAAGAATGCGAACTCATTCATTGCATAGATGAGTATTTTAGGTATATTATTTTGATCCAAAAAAAAGTATAGCATTTTGATAAATATTTTTGGTCATTTAGGATTTTGGTATTTTCTTTTACTAGTTGTAGCATGTTGGGAAAAAAAAAGCCGCGTTTACTTCTTGTGAAAATTACAGGTTGTTATTCAAGATGAAATTGATTTTGATAAATAAAAAAATTGATTTATTTTTTATTTTGTTTCAGCTCACATTACAAACAAATAATCATGATTTTTTTTTGAATCTTCCGAAGGAGATGAAAAAAGAATGTAAATAATGCAGATGGGTGCTTGGGAATCTTTATTGTCTCTTTTGGCACTGCATAGGATTCCAAAATTTAGGCTCATCCATGCATGACCCACCACTGTGGGAAAAGCAAAAGAATTTAGAAAGTAAATAAAGGAGCTCCAGATTAGGACAACGGAAGTAGTGACTAATCAAGTGAAAATAAATAAAAAGAAAAAACTAAGAAATATAAGACATTATTAATAAACTGTAATTTGATAATGACTATAATTACATTGAATGTATTATGACAGGCTTTATCCACTCTCTTAATATTTTATAATATGTGCTTGGATTTGTTTGTATTAAATTAATAAAAGCATGACTTTGAAGACCCTCGAGTGAAAAGGAGAGAGTTAGCATGAATAAGGTCTCACTTGGTCAAGTCTCAAAGTCTCTGTACTGAAAGCGTAAAATCACCTTATTTGCACCGTAAAATCCTACGTGTCACGCGATTCTCTTCGCTTTCCTTGGAAAATCTCTAATATTTCGTATGAATGCAAGGGTAATTTTGTGTTACTCCCTCCGTTCATTATTATAAGAGACATTTGATGCTTATGACATGTTCCTATATATAAGAGACACTTAAAAGTTGTCTCTACTTTTTTGTGTTGATTTCCTATTTTATCCATATTTATTGTCTCCAACTCACACTCTCTCTCATTCCTACTCTCTTTCTTTTAATAATTTACTATTGTTCTCTCTCCTTATTAATGAGGGCGTTTTGAAAAACAAATTATACTTTTTACTCATTAATTGTTCTTAACTAATTTTAACTATTTTTTTATTAAAATAATTTAGTTGTTCGTCTCTTATAATAAAAAACGGAGGGAGTACTTTATTAAGCATCAGCCCCCAAGTCATGTGATCAGGTCATATTGCACGGCCCTCGAGAATAAAGTTGTCACCGTCCATAAGAAGGGCATCGGGAGTAATAAATTTAAAGACATACTATTAATTAAAAATAATTGAAAAAGTTCCCCGTGAATCGTGATGAGATACATTTTAATTTCTTGCACAATACCAGAGAAAAACCTGACATTTATATTGTTTCAAAATTTTAAACTACTACTCACATCTTTAATATTTAATATAAAATCTAGTTTAATTTTTATTTTGATTTTAAATATAAGTAAGATCTCAATTAAATTTATCTCTCATATTTATTTTTTAAGATAATTTTTGTAATAATAATATTTCTAGCTAATAAACTTGATTAGTAAGGATATTTTAAAAAAAGTAATACTCCTCCGGTCCTTAATATAAGACCCATTTAACTAATTTGATTAGATTAAGGAAGTTAGGTAAGTTAGTTAATTATAAGAAAAGTGACACATTTTTCCTAAAACATCATAATCATCTTTCTTAATACTCCATCTCCCTCTTTTACTTGATTATGGTTAAGGGAATATTCATAGGGGTAATTTAGAGAAAATTGATAAATATGAGAAATGGATCTTATATTTAGGACTAAAACCAATTCAAAAATTGGGTCCTATATTAAGGACCGGAGGAGTACTTATTTATTACAAAAAACTAACTTAACTTATTTTCTTAATTTATTCAAATTAGTTAATCAGTTTTTATATTTAGAACTGGAGGTAGTACTACACTAACGTTTTTCACAAAATAAACCTTATTTTGATCCTATTATGTAATTTCATAAATGTTTTTGGCGTAAAAAAAAAAAGACAAATAAATACCTTGAAAATTCACAAAATCGAAATAATGAAGAAATCCCGAGCCACTGCATAGGATCCCAAAATTTGGACTCTCCTCCATGCATGACTCAATGTCCAAATCTCAGTCTCTCACATCAGTGTTGTATATTCTTTATGTAGCAGTTTGAGTTTGAATCAGTTCATTATTATTATTTAACCCATAATTTTAGTTATATATTTTTACTCTCCATAAGAAGAAGTCATGAAGAAAGTATCAATTGCTATAGTTTAAAACTAGAAGGTTGTTTTTCTCAATTCATCTTTGCATATTTTGCTTAGAAGCAAATCAAGGTCAACCAGACAGAGACAGAAATTGACAAAAGTATTAAGGTCAATACTGCAATATATCTCCAATCAATTATTCCGAAGCTGTTCCTCATAAAACTGTGACAGTAATAAGCTATTTTTAATGTATATTCTTCTTACCCCTAAGCCTTTTAATTCTGAATACATATTCAGTAACTTATATGAGCAGGTGATTAACGAGGCATCTTCCCATGAATCCAAGTTTTACTTCTTGAGGGACCAATAAAAGTTACAGTCACTTATGCTGAATGTTCTATATCAGAGAATGTTAAATTAGTTACTAAATCTACTCATTTACAACCACAAGCTCATTTCTATTTGAAGAGCCAGTACATCAAAGTGCTCAGGTGGGAAAAATATCAAAAGAAATTGTAACAGTTCTATCAAATGATTTAAATACTAAATGATTTTTTGGGAAGATTTGAAGGTCTTTCACCTGCAAATTCTAAGATAGCCACCTCATCAACTCATCTGAAATTAGCAATCTCAATCCTTGGCATATTGGTTACTTCTCTGCCCAAAGAACCTCAAACATTTTTTTTAAATGGAAATGAAGGAAGGAATAAGGCGGGAAACGCCACTCATGTAAAACTAAATATGAAAAGCTAAGAAAAGATATATAATAGCAGTGACTTTTAAGCGAAATTACGGAAACACAATATTAAAAAAAATGTAATTTGGTAATCACTTTGCATTGGTAGGGCCCTCCTGATAATAAATAAAGATTCTTTCAGGTGGCCGTGCATTACTGCTGGGTTTTATTATAGGAAGAATTATAATAAAGTCTTTAAAAAAATAATTATAAAACAAAACTTAAAGATTATCGCTTTTTATTTTAAAATTTGTTATTATAAACTGTTTAGATTGTTATTAAAATTTTTTAATAATTTTTTTATTTAAGATCTCATTATAATTCGTTCTATATTATATTATATATCATCCTCTGAAACACGTCAAATTTACAGTGTGCGATTTCTTTAATTTGTTCTTTTGACAAACATCATCATTTCAACTACTCCGTTTTAAAATTTGTATTAAATTAATAAAAGCATGACTTTGAGAACCGTTGAATGAAAAAGAGAGACTCGGTACGAACAAGGTCTCAATTATTCAAGTCTCTGTACTGGGAGGGAGGGAGAAATTGCTCCTCTTTTCTGAGTGGCAGGCGTACCGAGATTGTCTCTTGACCCTTTACTGTATACTCTTTCTATTTCTTATTATAACATTTAATTTTTTGAATGAGTTTGTTTTTTTTATAAGATCATCTTTGAATTTGTCTAAACGTTTAATATAGTATTACCTATGTACCCTTAATTTAATATATTTAATATATTCTCTTTTTCATTTATCTCACTATTGCTTTTTCACATTTATCTATTTATATATAGGGGTATATTTGGAAAAAAAAACTATATTTGCTGCATATCAATTGCTTTTAACTAATTTTAATTATTTTTTAAACCGCGCAATTTAGTTAAAATGATCTTATAATAAGGGACGGAATAGTATTTACTTAGAAATGATAAGGTCGAGTTTTGAACCGATTGAGATACGAGGTTAAAGTTAATGAGTCAAATCGGAATAAACTGAGGTCAAACCGATAAACAAATAAAAGAAATTAAAAATTAATTTAAATTCTCATCATATTATCCAAAACACTAAATATCAATTTAATATATTGAATTTCTAACAAAATTATCATATATTTACATTTTCTTATCATTTTTCCTACAATTCCCTTAACAAATTGACATCTTAATATCATATTTTTAAAATCACTAAATATTCGTTCAAAACATCAAAAAAATTTATGGCAACAAAATATTCCAATCTACAATCTTTTAGTTCTTAATTAATAATTTTTTACCATTGAAAAATTTTTTTAAAACAAACACACAACCAAGATAACCTACCAAACCGGTTGGGTTACAAGTTTCTCCCGAGTCGATCATGTTGCACTGGGCTTTTTTGTTTTTGTTGGCCAGCTTCCAGTCTAGTCCGATTTTCAATACTATAGAAATTATGCTTGATCTTGAATGGTGTTCACAACTTTTTAGTGCTTGGTTTACTTGTCAATTTCTTAGCTGGTAATACCTCTAATTCTAAATATAGGAGTTAGTTGACTAATTTGAATATATTAAAAAAATTAATTATATTAGTTATTTGTAATAAATATGTGTTGTCTTTCCTACAATATCCTTGCTAATCATGTGTATTAGTTAGAATTATCATTTGATAAAATCTTTAACATATGCAACTACTAGGACTAGTTTAAAAAAATAAACAAATATGATAGACAAAATAGACTCGGGTCTTACATATGAGACCAAACTAAATATCAAAGTAACTCTTATATTAAGGATTTGAAGTAGTATAATTTATGTTTATTATGAATCACATTATTTGCATTGTAAAACCCTATGTGTCTCGTGAGTCTCTTTGCTTTCCTTGTAAACTCTAATATTTCGTATGAATGCAAGGGTTACTTATTAGCCATTTTTACTGCAAAATTTAATTTCATTTCTCTCTTGAGAGGGTGCAGTAAAATTTCATATTTATGTGAAGGTTATTGGAAAGGAAAAATGATAAAAAAAGACCGCTGAAATAAAAAAATTATAAATAAAGATCTATGACAACACTAGTATAGGTTTTGACAACAATTTTTACAAACCGGTTTTTGTGTGCAATTTTTCTATTTCGACGGTCTTTTTTTGCCATTTTTCTTATTGGAAATACCTTTGTTACAGTATGAGTTATCTGAAATTTAAAAGAGAGAGAAGAAATTTAAGGGATAAGTTTTTTAAACAAACTTCTAAAAATAGCGATTCACTTAAAAATGATTTTTTTGATTTTTAACAACATTTTTCCATTCTGTTTTTGGTGTTGCTAAATTTTCTTCTTTTTCAGTTTCTTTTAACGATAGAAAGTTTTAGATGAAATTAATGGCATCAATTTCTTATTTCTACTTTTTTATCTCACTTTATTATTGTTTATTTTATATCTTCATTTTGTAATTTTGTAATTATTTTGTATTTGTATTCACGCTAATTTTGTATTACTTTATTAACGACCAGTCCCCAAGCCATGTGAGCAGGTCATATTGCACAGAACCGAAGAATAAAATTGTTAATATCCACAAGAAGGGCATCGGGAGAAACAAATTTTAAAGACATATTAATTAAAAATAATTGAAACCCCCCCCCCCAGAAAAAGAGATATTTTAATTTCTTGCCAGAGGAAAAACTTGACATTTACTATATTGTTTCAAATTTTAAACTACTAAGTTAATTTTTTGAGAAAATAAACCGTATTTTGATATTATTATGTCATTATATAAATGTTTTTGGTAAAAAAAAAAGATAAATAAATGCCTTGAAAATTCACAAAACCGAAATAATGAAGAAATTCCAGGCCAGTGCATAGGATCCCAAAATTTGGACCCTCCTCCACGCAAGACTCAATGTCCACACCTCACATCTTTCACATCAGTGTTGTATATTCTATATGTAGTAGTTTGAGCTTGAATCAGTTCATTATTATTATTATTATTTAACCCATAATTTTAGTTATATATTCTTACCCTCCATAACAAAAACTAAAAGGTTGTTTTCTCAATTCATCTTTGCATATTTTGCTTAGAAGCAAATGAAGCTCAACTAGGCAGAGATAGAAATTAACAAAAATATTAAGGTCAATGCTGTTATATATCTCCAAAAAATTCCTCATATGGAGTTGTCAAATTATTCCTAAGCTGTTCCTCATGAAACTGTGACAGTAATAAGCTATTTTTTAATTATTTTGTATTTGTATTCACGCTAATTTTGTATTACTTTATTAACCACCAGCCCCCAAGCCATGTGAGCGGGTCATATTGCACAGAACCGAAGAATAAAATTGTTAATATCCATAAGAAGGGCATCGGGAGAAACAAATTTTAAAGACATATTAATTAAAAATAACTGAAAACACCCCCCCAAGAAAAAGAGATATATTTTAATTTCTTGCCAGAGGAAAAACTTGACATTTACTATTAGAGCCGGAAAAACGGGCCGAGCCCGTCGGGCCGGCCCGTTTAAGTCGAGGGCCGGGCTTATATTTTGGAGCCTTGAAAGGGAAGTCAGGCTTAAAAGGGCCAGCCCTGTAGGGCCGAAAAATAAACAGGCCGGCCCGTTTAGGCCCGCCAAATTATTTTTTTTTTTTAATTTCTGTCTTTCTTTCTTAACTTAAAAAAGAAAACTCTAACATTTTAAACATAGCATACTCTTAGTTTTACTTATCTTGGCAGCTCACATAGATAGCATTCACAAAAAGAAAAAAAGAACCACTATAGTTG